AGAAAAGTGAACCTCAGAGAGATTAGGCAGATCACATGAGGGTATAGCTCAAGTCAACAAATATTTACTGGCCTCCTGCTCGTGACAGAGACTAAACAAGTGCCATACATTTCAAAAACAGGTAAGACAATTTTCTTTCTCTGGATGGACATACAGTTTAATGGAGGAGTCTAGCCACCAGTCATGAAAGAAGGCAAAGTAGATTTCAGGACCAGGTCTTTTGACATCAATATTCACATTAATTTCATTGCCATGCTATGTTCTATATCAGAATATAAGTAATACATACTTGGAAAGAGAGAGAGGGAGAGAATTTAATTTTATTGGTTACCAAAGAAATGCAAATAACTTTTTTACCCTTAATTGGCGAATATGAGAGCACTATTCATAACACTTGGAGTTCCTGAGGTTGGAAAAAACAAAAACAAAAAGAACCAGACATTCACTCATCAGTATCACCTGTGGCTGTTTTCCAGCAGGTTGATCCTCCTTATACACTTTGACAGTGGATTTCAAGAGTCAGAAAAACATTTATATAATTTAAATAATGCCATTATAACCTAATCTTTGGAATTACTTAAAATGAGGGAAATGGGTATATTCATAACCATATTTATTTTTAACAGTAATTAAATAAAAAGGGTAAAGGAGAAATAATAGTAGGGGAATATTTTAATCAATTACAGTATAAATATTCAATAGAATGTCAAAGCACTACAGGAAATTATAATGAGAGAGAGAGAGAAGAAAGGAGGGAACCATGGAAATAAAGCTGCTTCATTTGGTGGTAGTGAAAGGTCATTGGTATGTCCTTTGTTTTTCATTATTTTTTATAATGACTGCATTTTAAATTAAGAAAGATCATGCCCAATGCAACTAAATCCAAAATAAGTTTAAATGATGAGTTAAGGATGTTATAATGTAAACTTTCTTTTACATTGTGTGTCCTCATGAGAGATGAAAAATGAAGGAGAATTTTTCAAATATCTTCTAGAACTACTCCAGCATCATCTGGCAATTAACCAAAAAGGATCTTGACTGGGTTTTCATTCCAAGATAGCTTTACTGGTTTCCATTTTAATAGCCTGAACTTTGGTTATTCAAGGTATCGTAAGCTTAGAATTTTATGTGAAATTAATACTTGATCCTCTACCAGGAGTCATCAAATAAGCAAGGACCAAGCTTTTGCAACCTGTGAGCGTCTCTGCTCCACACTGTCATGCCCAGTAAGAAAGGTGAAAATAACCCGTTTCTCTTTTGTCTTCTTGGCTCACCCCTGGTTTTGCTCACACATCTTATGCAAGCCTTCTAAAAGGACAGTGAGTTCATTTTTCTCTTAGTTGGCATTTTGGATATCTTTCTCTTCGACAACCTCCAATTTCTTGGCATTCCTCATTCACAAGAAATGTAAAATTGACTGTAATTTTTCAGCTCTTTCAGCCACATGCTTGCTACTGGAAAGTAAATGAAAACTTCCTACAAAATTCTTCTGTGCAAACCTGAGGCTCATATTTAATTTATTCACTTATTTACTCTTAATTATGTTTACTAAGTACCTACACTGTGCCTGAATCAGTCTTTCTAATGTCCTCCACCCTCCGTCACAGATCTTCCAGTCAAATGGGTTTCAACTTGGACAGTCAGCACACAACCCCAAATTCTTGTCCCCATTCTGTTTTTTCCTTCCCTTCTGTTGTGATAGTCCCTTGAAAGTCCCTGCTGAGTGCCTTTTTCCAAAGTGCCTTCTGGAAATCCCAGTGGACTGCTAACAAAGGATTTTTTTACCCTCAAACTTTTCTTTGACTCTTGGATTTACCTCTGGACCTTAATTATCTTTCCTTAGATCACGCTAGTCTGAACAACCATTTAATTAGAGACCCTCATTTATACATACACACACACACACACTCACACACACACACCCCACATTCCTAATTAATTGCTTTGAAGCATCATGTATAGTCAGCATTTCTCTGGTTCCTTGCCAGTCTGATACCGTACAACTTCATTCTGCAGTGCTCTGTACATTTAAGCACATGTATTTAGTCCATGTGAAATCGAGTTCTCCGGCACCTGAGGTCCTGGTTTAGTTCATAGTTAATGAGTTGATGATCCCAGCAGAGCCACACAGCTCTAGGATTCTGTCTGATGTAGTGATTTCCATCTTCCCTTTAGCAGTCCACTCATGTAACTACATTTTAAAATTAGAAATGGTGTTGTCTAAAATTCTCAGAGCACATTTCATATCCTGCCTCCCTTATGTGCTTGCTCCCTTCACTCCTACTTAACATACTCTTTGCTAAGATACAGGAATGTCAGTATAGAGGATGTTGGGGGAAGTCATCCCCTTTCTGGTTTCACTGCCCTTCTCTCCTCAGTGAGTCTGTATCTCATGGTGAATTATTTAGTGACATCCTCACCAGCACCACTGATTGCTTTGTCTGAATTTTATTTATTTGTTCAATTCTATTTTTGATACACCAGTGGGGGTAAAAATGGAATGAGTTCAGGGCACTTGAATGAAAGGATTTTAAATTGAGGTGAAATTGTATACACAAGTGGACCTTTTAGGAAATGATGTTATTGTGACCCTGTTCAATTGAGTATTAGAAAATTCAGTTGATAATTCAAAGGTAAGACAATTGTTTATATGTTGAAAGAAAATGACTTCATATTCTTTGTATAAGTAATATCAAAAATTATTGAAAAGAATGACAACAAGCTATGCAATTTCCCACTACTGGAAATTAGTAACAGTGTTAGCACTTGGTAGCGTTATTGTAGTCAACTCTCGATGCATAAAACAATAAATAGATAGCTATGATGATACACAAACGTAATCTCACACGAAAATGGATTAAATGTCATTCTAACTGAATGTAACATCAGGAAAAACATGAGGTGAAGCTAAAGGAATTGCTAATTTTCAATAAGTATTTTTCATAGTAGAAGGTATTAGAACCCTATTTGATGACAGTTATCCTGGGTTAAGAAGTTGGTTGGGACTTTGAAATTTCAGCTACAGTTCAGTTCTAGAGAGTGTGACTCCCTCGCTGCTGTCAAGGATGAGAACTCAGCCCTCTGGAGGTTTTCCTTCTCCTGAATTTTGTTTGTTACGTTTTTTGTTTGCTTGTTTATTTGTTGAGGCAAATGACAATGTGCCCTGTGTTTTGTAAACAGAATTCTCATCATTATTCAGTGTTTATTTATTTATTTATTTTGCAGCTTTCACCGCCTGCCATTTTATTAACCTGTGTCTGTTTTCGATGCGTGTGTTTGTACCAGATCCTCCACTAACTTTGTGGCCTTGGGCTTGTTGCTTCCTACATCTTTCTTGAATCCGTAATAATGGTACCTGCCTCGTGGGCTTGTTTGTACCAGGCAAATAGCAAGAGATATAGAAGTCACTTGAATTCTGTTTTATTCCAGGCTTTGTTTTCTATTGTCCATTGCTTGCCCCTCTGTCTTGCATGTTTGCATAGTTTCCGTGGCATTTCTTTTCCAATGGGTTCATATATAATACCCAGACTTTCTAATTGCTATGATGTGGCTGCAGGGCAGTTTCCCTTGACTGTCCCTGTACTTTATCCGAGGACCGACGTATAGTTTGAGTCATAGAGACTGCTTTTTATTTTTGGGTAGCCTAGGACATCAGTTTCGTGAGGGG